TAACAAATTAAAAATAATCACAGATTATCGGATCACTAAATTTCGTACGGTTCAAACAAAATATTTTTCTACTCCCATCTGTAAAATGCCTAATTACTTCACTTTACCACGTCATTTTCGTTTCCCACGGATCCGAGCCACTTCGGACATTGCCGGGATTTTACCGCACTAGTTTGGGAGCAATCGGATGTTTTCGGAGATATCCCCCACGCTTTAAATTTTGACGTTTGTCAATTCTGAAGGTCATGTCAGTGAATGCATTCGTGTTGTTTGGCGAAAATGTACCCAAAAACTAACGGTCGTAGAAAAAGTATAGTATGCAACATTTTCGGTAAACTTTTTAAGTCACTCGTTAATTAAACACTCGCTCCACTCGTGTCAAATAAACTCGTGAGTCAAATGCCGTTTGCCGCACTTGTTGCGTAACATACTATTACTAGTTGCCATTAAACCTATTCGTTAATCGTTTCGATCGGTCCTATTATTGTTGTCTCTTTTTGAGTGGGTACGTTAGACAGAGAAAGATGTATTATTGGATGTGTCATATAAACCAACGCAATAAACCCATTTTTAAAAGGTTATGTTGTTTATTTAACAAATGATCATTAAGTAGTTTATTTAAAGAAAAAAACTGTGATTGGATGAAAATTCATCCAAGGATAGAGCTTTTAAGAGGATTAATTTTTAAAGACCGTATAAGCACGAAAAAGCGGGTCCTAACCTGCAATTTTTGTTATGTTTGTACTGACGAGACATGTATATTTGAAAATCGTACAATTGATCTTGGCAAGATATTAATATAAAAACTGTAAAAACCACTTAAGGTCATGCGAACGATATGTATAATAATATAATTATAAATATCACTTTATTTACCGACTAGTCCACTAGATTTTAATTGTAGCTTATAGCACGTAATATTTAAATTGTCTGATATATTGTGTAATATTTTTCCGTGTACGAGTTTTTGGGTACATTTTCGCAAAACAATACGAATACATTCCCTGACATGACCGCCAGAATTGAGAAACGTCAAACCGTGCCATAATATCTCCGAAAACATCCAATTGGTCCCAAACTCGTGCGTAAAATTCGCGGAAATGTCGGAAGTGGCTCGGATCCGTGGGAAAGAAACTGACGTGGTAAAGTGACGCTTCCCGCACGCTAGATCGGTGTGTAATTAGGTATTTTACAGACGGGAGTAGAAAAATACATTCCAAAACATTGAAGATCGAATGGATATCATTATAAATTTTTAATTATTTTACTGCAATGAGTACAATTTTTGACTGATTTTCGATTGGTTTGTGTTCTATTATCATGATGCGTTGGTCGTTGAATCGAGCTTGTTGACCTTTCGCCAATCATCCCGTTGGCTTCCTCAGAGCTTAATTGAAACTGAAAAATGATGCGTTGAGATTTTTTGAGAAGGAAGAGAGGGACCTAGATTTATGATTAGAAAAGGATCTAAAAAACCAAAGATATTTTAGATCAAAAATTTTCGAACTTACGTTTTTTGTCTGCTATGGATAAGCGGCCTTATTGCAGGTATAAAAATAGGGTATATATACCCTATCTACCTTCGAAAACTAAATTTTTGCTTACCAATTTCCTTACCTTACCAGACAATTTAAATTTAGCTATTTATTTACATCTTATGCACTTTGGAGGTGTAATCAGTTCAAATGGTGAAGTCCATGATTTGCTCAAGTAGGAATAGCAATTTCTTCTGAATACCCTCATATAGGCACAATACCAAGCCATTAATGTCGGGGTCGAGAAAATAGGAATAAGCCCGTATCCCGTATCTGAGAAACGATATTCCTATTTCACCCAACGTTTTATATCGGGCTGACATTTAGATACCCGAGAGCTTAAAAGGTCGACTATAAATTTCCCATCCAGTAAGAAACACAGAAATTGATTTTATAATATCGCTACTGCATATCCACCCCTAGACGAACCCGGGGCATATTAATATTGTTCCGGGGATTTAGTAAAGGCTGACGAAAAGCCTTGCCGGCTTGACATTTATTGTCCTAGGCGAACGACCGCGAAATTTCGCTCGACACTACTCGTAATCAACTTATTTTCCAAAAATGACAGGAACTGTCTTAGAATGCGAAGTAGCGAGAGAAATTTAAAAAAATGTTACGTCAGGTGGTGTAGAAAACTATGCATCAACCAATGTCTTGTAATAGCAGAGCATCCCCGATACATTGCCCAGTATCTTATAAAAGAACGTTATCTAAAAGTTAAATATATCGACACTATCATTTATTGGGTTTTAAAACAATGAATTAGTCTGTAACTGACTCGATAATATATATCTTAGTAGTCAATTATAGAAGTCATTAAAAGATTCAGTTCAGTTGGTTTTTAAAATTTTTATTACAATTTTAATGTTGCCGTATTAAAAATGAGTTATTTGTCTTAACAATTTCCTAATATTGTCCTGACTTTTTCGGCAACAAATCGAAGCTTCCATTTAAGTTGAAGATAATATCGGTTTTTAGAAACAACTAACAATAAAAACTAATATATTTACATGATGAAAATACTTTAGTTAGAAATAAAGGAGCAGAAAATGAGTTTTTCTACTCCCGTCTGTAAAATACCTAATTACACATTTTTTGTTTTTTCAATCAAAGATATATTAAAATTAATCACAAAAGGAACGAAAACCCCTTACTTCGTAAGAAAAATGAACGATTTCGAGGGACGATTCGCTCCAGTGCCAATGGTGTACTCCTTGTGTAATTTTTTTAATATCTAGTCTTTTATACATCTAACATAAAATGTTTTTTTTCGCACACAATAAAAAATTGAAACGAGAATTTCTGTTGCTCGAACTCGACGGAAACTTTTAGATAGCGGAAATTGCAGGAATCCGAAGTAAAAGTGGCAACGCAGGAAATTAGCTCGATAAATCACGCGCCGAAAGGCGTTCGAAATTAATAGCAGAAGAAAGAAGCAGATTGCGATTCAGCGAAAAAATTGATTACTCCGCCTCGTTGAATCTGCGATTTAAATGTCCGCTAAAATGGAGACAGCAAGCAACAACTTTTATTTTTAATTAGTTTTGAGTATAAATTAGTCAAGAGAAAATGCTGCAAAATGATTTTCTAGTGTCTGAAATGGCCAACACGGGCGTAATTGATTTTTTTATTTTGATATGATTTGATTTTTAAACCCCGTTTTTTTTTAATAACCATATTTGGGGTAAGTACTGTCTTAAAGACCAAACAAATTCCATTTCAGTGTAATTAAGCGTTATTAACAACTCTATTTTCCAAAATTCCAATTTTATTTTTAAACTTTAATTACCTCGTATTCATTCATATTTTAGGTTGGGGATTGTGATTCCATTTTTACCGGGGTTTGTGGATTCTTGCTTCACTACCTACGTAGAGATATATCGTCGTTGCTTGTGTTTTACAAAATTATTTTTGCCACTACATCAGAAAACGCCACCTGCCGGGAAGTTAAGCAATCTCAATCGTCTTACTTATTGCAAGAAAGCCATTTTTAATTATTCCAAGTTTATTAAAACGCTTTTTCTGGGTTATCGACATTAAGATTTGAATTTATCTGAACTGTCATTAATATAAGAAAGTTTTGCAGAAAACGGGTGGCAATTGCGCTCCTCGGTGACTAATTTAGAAACTTGAATTTTATCTTTTTTGTTCATTTTTAGCTTTTTTCATTTAGAATATATTTTTAATTTTATTCTCACTATAAATATGCACAACTCTACAAGGTGTATTTAAAAATTAAGATGGGTTTTATAATAAAGTTTTATTAAAAAGTATTTATTTATACATCAAAATTAATATTATCGCCTTAAAAGTTATCCCCCCCCCCCCCCCCCGGAAATAATATACTTGTGCCAACGGTTTTTCCAACAGTCGAAGCACTTCTGGTAAACACTTTCTGCTATAGCCTTGATTTCTTCCAGCGATTTTTTCTTTATCCCCTCGATCGTGGGTTTCTTGAGTTTTGGGAACAGGAAAAAGTCGCAGAGACCATATCCTGTGAATATGGTGGCTGAGGCATGATTGTGGTTTTGTTTTTGGCCAAGAAGTTAGACACAAGCAGCACAAGTGAGCAGGTTCATTATCGTGATGCAAAATCCATGGTTTGTTTTTCCACATTCCGGACATTTTCTTCGTATCGCTTCTCGCAACTCAAAGTAATACTCTTTATTGACCATACGAACTTGTGGTAAAAACTCTGGATGTATTACGCCACGATAATAAAAGAAACCATATACTCACGATTCGTCACCTTTTTGAGCAAATCGTGACGTCGTTCTGCTGCTACGCGTTTTATGTCTCCAACTTCGGAAAAAATTGCATGGCACGAGCCAATAGAGATATCCACGTCTTTAGCCACTTCTGTACTAGTGATTCGACGATTTTTTAACGACATTTATTTCACTTCTTCAACGCTTTCATCAGTTATTGACTTGCTGGAGCGTCCAGAGCGAAGTTCGTCAGCGGCGTCTTCTCGGCCATCTTGGAACAGTTTGTACCACTTTTTTGGCTCAAAGTAGATTCATCATATGCTGTTGTGAGCATTTGAAGTATTTTGCAGCACTCTATTCCATTTTTTGCAAAAAAAATTATGCAAATTCTTTGTTCCATGTTTTTGAGAGCAGAAAATCACTGAGCACGCAAAACATGTCTAACGCTTCTGTCTCACAAAAAAAAGTAAACGTGCAAACTGGCTGAAACTGTGAACATATGTTAGGGACATGTGTACCAACATAAAAAAAATATAGACGTTACAAAAGACCCCTTACTTTTTGAACACACCTCGTAAAAGTAAAATAAAATAAAAATCTTATGTTCGTAATAGCCTGAATAAAGAATACGTGCACAATGTAAACAGGGTTTTAATTGATTGTTCTGCATAATTAATAAAAACAACGCTGAATAAGTAATAAATTACGATCGCGTATAATTAGTCCCAAGCTAAACATTAAGGATTAATTACAGGCGAAAACCACATGAAAGTGACGTCCCTTCCCAGAGGATTCTGCTCCAACTGCTGCCAGGCGAAAATTACACGGGACGTTCGCTTCATGCTCTACACCAAGGCCGATCCTAAAAGAGGAGTGCCCATAGTTCCATTTAACAAAGTGGGGGCCGCTGCTCGTGCAGGAGTCCAACCGGATCGGGACACTGTGATTTTTATCCACGGATTTTCCGAACCCAGTCCGGGTGAAAGCGGAACCGCAATCGTCGATGGTAAGTTCGCAACGCGAAGAATTTTGTGCAAAATTTTTTGCAGCGGTAAAAATCCCCAATTTCTGGGCTTGCGTCTTGAGATTTTGTATTTGGATGTGAGATTTCGACCGTTCGAAAGACAGATGCAGGTTCAATACCTGTTTCCATCTAATAATAGCACGTTACAAAGGAATGGTCAAATTTCCTAATAGTAACTTAGAAAATAAGAACACAAAGAAAATTTTTGCTCGATGTTATAATACTAGTCTTCCACACGATGCAAAGTTTTAGGCAATACAAATTTTTTCAACATTTTCATGTGTTTATATTATTTGATGCATTATATTTTCATGAAAAGAGAAAGCCACTATTATACGTAAGTTCTTTCAGTTTTAAATTTATGTGTATCACATTTTTTTATTAGTTTTATTATCACGATTTGCAAAAACAAATAATCAAATATCATATAAAACAACACACACGCGGCCACAAGTTCTTGGCTTTCCAGCAAGGGAAGGTATTATACACCTTTTTGCATCCTCAGTGAGGATTACCGACCCCCTAAAAAGATACCAGATCGCAGCATTGATTTTAAATAAAAATAAAACAAATGTCATCACACGGCACAGAACGGCACTATTTGGATATGCAGCTGTTGTAATAAAGTACCGAGTACAAGCTCTCAGTAGCTTTAAATTTAATAAGGAGATTTTTCATCGTCACTTTTCTAGAGTACGCTTTAATTTTTCTCCTTTCTCCTTATAAGTTACCTTTGGTTAGATTAGGAAAATAGCTTAAGATAGGAGGCTAAGTTTCAATTTTGTAATTTTACATTGCAATAAAATTATTATTATTAGTTGGTAACTTTGGTAGTAGTTCACAATGTCTTTTCCACTCAAAGGTTTTCAACACCTTTTTCTGCGTGATGAAATCGGATGATTTTTCGATGAGTTGAAATAGAGAAAGTGACCCAAGGACCAACTATCAACTGTTTTTAACTAAACTCTATGGATCTACAGTGTCAAATTGATTTATAAAAAGATAAAAAAATATCAACCTATTATACATACTCATTTTTACACGATTTTTAACTTAACATCCACACCTCAGAAAAGAAAAAGAGAGACAAAGTCATTTTACCAAAGCAACAGTTCCAAACCATCGAAATTCAACCTCACAATAAGTCAACCAATGTCATTCTGTCTAAAGAACGACATTAACGTCAAGCTTTATTTTTCTAGCGTACCTAAGCAGACCAGAATACTTCAACGTAATATTGCTGGACTGGTCTGAGCTCAGCAGTTTCCCATGGTATAGAACGGCGGTGGAGAATGTAAAGTTGGTTGGAGAAATCTTGCGCAACTTCATCAAAACTTTCACCAAAAGCGGAGAAATCGCAATCGACAGGCTGCACGTTATCGGATTCAGTTTGGGCAGCCATATCGCCTCGCGTGCAGGAAAGAATCTACAGGGTGGCGTCAGAATACCGAGGATAACAGCGCTAGATCCTGCTTTTCCCGATTTTCCATTGCAAGGTAATTAAATTTAGGCGTCAATGCGGTAGATACATTACTTTGTGGCCTGATTCACACAGTTGTTTAGTTAGTTCTCTATCGTATGAGATGAGATAGCCACTTGTGAGTATTATCTGTTTTGATTAGGCAGAGAATGTATAATGGAGCATCAAAGATTTTCCTCGCGGCTCACAGTGCTATAAATTTTGCTAATAGGTTTAAAACATTTTTTATATAAAAGAATGAATTGCAAGAAATTCAGGACACTACCATCAAAAGTTATATATCCACAAGTCTCCTATTCTTATTTTTTGTTGCTCCATACTTTCCATACATACTTAACAAACGCTCGGTATAAATATGACTCGTTTTATCTGCCTGTCATTATACTTTAGGAGAGAAACACACGCACGGCATTCTACCTCCTTTAATAAGATTGAGATTTATAAATACTTGTGAGACTTATAAATGTATGAAACGCCAAAATCGACTGGCGCCTCACCTTCATAAAAAAATGAAACTAGACATTCGGGGTGTGTATCTTTCCTTTTGGCTCTCAATAATATACTTTAACCACCGATCTATCGAACTCATTAAAAATACCAATCCCTTACCCTCGACCACAGCTAATGTTCATGTACGGATCGGGTACGGATAATAGAATCCGAGCTCTAATAGTCCTAGATCGAATAAAGTTTGGTGTTCCAATGACAGACCATTTAATTATACCATGGAAAATGACATGTATTCTGAGAAAAATTATACCAAAAACGAATTTCTTGAGATATTAGCTCGTCGTCGTACTATAACCTATATTTTAATATTTTTTAGTAATATACTATATATACGATATTGAATTATATCGATAATAATAACTATAGAGGGCCAAAAAAATCGATACACGTCGCTTTCTGTCTGGCAAATGGATGACGTTCGCGTTTTGTTCAAAGTCAATTTAAATTCGGTAAGGCCTCGCGATAAATCACGAGGAAAATCCAATCATATTCGAGGAGCCCCGCACCCTACATAAGCCGGACCGAAGGACGAAACCTAATTTACATGAATACTACCATTTAACGAACCCTTTTGCATCGCCAGTTAGTTTAATGATGGCGCAGTTTTATAACGAGTGCCGTCTCGTAACGCCGTCGTTTCGCTAATTGGATTTAAAAAATCTGGACAGTATACTTATTTTAATGGCTCATTAGTACGGCATCCAATCAGGACCGCATTAATGCAATTAAAAAAAGGTCCGAAGACGAACGAAATTCGGTATTTTCAATGGGACGAGCGGAAGAGAAAAGTGAGGTTACTTCGTAATCCATATATTAAACCATATATATATATATATATATATATATATATATATATATATATATATATATATATATATATATATATATATATATATATATATATAATGTCTAGCTTCATTGAAGGTGTACATAGATGGCGATCTAGGTATAATCCTTATTTGCCCGGGTATTTACATGTCATTCTTTCTTCTCTAATTTTACGTCTGTCTAAATTTTCTTTGTTGTTGTTGAAGCAGATAAAAACAACAGTTTTGGGAATGAATTGAAAGAGGACAAGATGGTTGAATGCGCATGAAATGTGGACGTGGGAATAAGCAAAAAACAATGTGAGAACACCAGCCAAATAAGATACTGATACTGGAGACTGAAAGAAACAAGCAAATCTGTTTACAAAATTATACATATACTTGTATACACATACAAGTGTATACAAGTATATACAAGTAAACGTCTTTTGTCAAATACTAAAATTGTGACATTAGACAGAATACCTGTTCCGAAAATGTTTGTCAAAATATTTGCAGTTGCAAAAGATAATCCTAACAACGTAAAGAAACATCAACCGAGTAATATATTATTATTTTATCGTTCAATACCAGCATGAAAATAATGGAATTCCGAGACCAGCGCTTTTCAACAATCACAAACAATGCAAGTTATTCCCAAAATTACAGGTAGTCGTCTGAAATAGTATATTATGCAACAAGTGCGGTAAACGGCATTTGACTGATTAATAAAAGAGTGAGTTAAAAAGTTTACCGAACGTGTTGCATACTATACTTTTTCTACGACCGTTAGTTTTTGGGTACATTTTCGCCAAACAACACGAATGCATTCACTGACATGACCTTCAGAATTGACAAACGTCAAAATTTAAAGCCGAAGTGGCTCAGATTCGTGGGAAAGGAAACTGACGTGGTAAAGTGACGCTTCCCGCACACTAGATCGGTGGGTAATTAGGTATTTTACAGACGGGAGTAGAAAAATGTTATTTCCACATTGTCACAGATTATACGCTTACCTTTTACGTTCTATGAAAAAGTGCAAATTATTGCTATATTTACACCAAACAGTTAATGTTAAAAAGAAAAATTCACATTGCTATTGTCAAATTACCAAATTCAAAGGAAGCATATTTATATTGAAATGTATATGCTGTCGATTATAAAACAAACAGGGATCAAACAACAAAAACATCGGCAATACAAACAATTAAATAACAAAATACGTAAATGGTTTATTACTCGAAATCGTCAAATATTTTATTTTCGAATGAATTGTTTGCTAAATATTTTTCCCAAATCCTAAATCCATAGCGTCATCGCAGTAAAATATACAATTAAACAATTAAATTGATAAATGGAAGATTGAATTCATTGGTATACAAGGTGTTGTAACGAACACGCATAGTAGGCCCACCTGGACGTACCATAGTAGGCCCAGACCGCTGTGTCAGTCGGCAGCGAGTTGATACAGAGATTTTACAGCGTATAACCGTTTAAATTCTGTTTTCATCCCAACAAACTGTTCCTACCCACTTTTATAATAATAATACCGTTTGCTTGAGTGCGGGTTGTTACTTTAAGTAAGCGAGTGTAACATTGGCGCCCAACATGTTACACTCCAAAAATAATAAGTTTAGGTATAGAGAATGCTTAACAAAATTGAAATAGCATCAATATAAATAATTAATGGGAGTATAATATACATGGTGTTGAATTTGATTTTTTTCCCATTTTGACTCACCCTGTATAAATGATTCAATTAGCAGTCAAGGACGGATAAATGACTGCATCACTTTATAAAATTGTTGATAAATAAAATTACAGGTGTTGGAAACGGCGTCAAAAATATATTGTATTAAACACATGCATTTTAACACTCAGTATGGACCCTAATAACCCTGCATTGGGTAATCGAATTTAAAAGGGTGTATCTATATATATTTATAAGGAAAGTGATTTTTTTTTAATAATTTAAAGTTACCCGTTTGATGTTGATTAAACAGAGTCAGTCGGGAATCAAATCAATCAATCAATCAATCTTTTCTGTAGTTTGAAGCCCAAAGTTTTGTTTGGTTAATTTTGGCGTTGTGAACGGGTACCAGTGGGTATGGTCTGTTCATAGATATAAGAAAATTAATTTTGAATGGGATTATCCAAGGGTGATCATTAACATACAATGCAACAAGATTATTACCTAAAGTTTCGGAATTTAAATTCAGGTAAAATTGTGGTCCGTACAAGAAAATAATTTTATACCTACCTGTGTTTAATATTCTATGGTGTGTAATACGGTGTGTGTTGAATCGTGTGCGAATTATGCAAAATATGTGCGAGTCAAGTGTATCTCAGGAGAAGCTCCCGCCCAAATGTAGAAAACACTATTCTATTGACACTAAGGAAGTTATAAACAATGTTTATTTGATTCTCATTGAACGTGGTGCCAGCAAGCAAGCATCTTTAGAAGAAACGGCCACATTGACGAAAATTCCAACATCAACTGTACGGAAAATTGTGAATAATTCCATTCAAGCGAGGAAAAAAAGAAGCGATGCTGCAAAATAATCGCAAAAAATATAGAACAAATAATTAGATAGCGATAGTGATACTGATATATTATGTGAATAATTTTAAGTAATTTAAGTAGGTAATAAAAATAATTTGTAATTTTATTTTAGATTTAAACAAAACTACATACATAAATAAATAAATATTGTTTAGTATATTTCCTAATAAAACCCCAAATAAATAAATTCTAAGCAAAGTACGGACCTGTTCGGCCATATTTCATTCTTACAGCTTGCCCGGGTCTTTCTTTAGTCACTTTCTTATATCTTTGAACAGACTTTACATATAGTTTCGTATTGTTGGCAACTTTATAAATAGTGTTTGCAAAACCAATCAATGGATTATGAGTGAAGCGGAACAAAAGACGTAAAACCGCCCACCTGGAAAGAAGTTTTCACTTGGCTACGAAATAAAACCGGAAACAACCCAATTTCCAGATCGCACAAAGAGACTGGCAGAGACTGATGCGGATTATATCGACGTCATCCATACGGACAGCGGCATATTCGGGTTCCCTTTGTCGATAGGGCATGCCGACTTTTATCCAAACGGCGGCAGAGCCCTGCAGCCCGGCTGTCAGCCCAGTTATTTAGCGAAGCAGAGAATTATCGACCAAGTCCGTAAGTATATATTTGGATTAGATGGGTTCCCTTCCGGCTAGTGATTTGCCTGTTTCGTGGATTTTATATTATTAGTTCGTTTTTATCGAACTCTGGGATGGATATTTCGTTCGATGTCAATTAATAATTATGGTGGGGTTTGGGAAATTGGAGTAGATTTCATGTTATTATTTTTAGTATTTATTATTAAAATTAGTCAGCCGTGTAGTTCCTAACAAATTTTTTTTTCGTCTAAAAATAACTTGTTGATTTAATTCCTTTTTTTTCATTTACATATCTCCCTTATTTACGATTATTTTGAAAAAAAATGTTTTAATAAGTATTACATAAAATCTCAAAGACGAAAATTTCCGTAACAGCGTGGTCTCTATTTTTTAAATGGAACGTCCTATATATTTATTGAAAAAAATAGAATTAAAAGAACGTTCTATGCTATCTTTCAATTAGTTAATTATTTCATAATATTGTCGAACTCTAAATTCGAAATATTTTCCATTTTTTCCATTCAGTTTTAATTCAAAAACAATCACGGTGTGATTTGCACATTTCTTGGAGAAATCGTAATATGGAAAAGTATATAAAGTGTTCCTTTCAAAGCACATACTCTTGTATTCCCAGGCTTTTGCAAATCACACTGTATAATTGAGGTCATTTGAAGGCCATCTATCTTTTGATTTTATGCAACATCTATTAAAACACTTTTCCTATTGAGTCACCTTGTATATTTAGTAGTTTAGTTTAGTAATAAATTTTACCAAAATTTGTTTTAAAATGAAAGACATTCTTTTATACTTACTTTAACCTAACAAATCCTAAAAATGTTTAAGATAAATTTTTAAACCACAGTAGTAGGTTTCCGTCAGTATAGTTTTTCGACATAATAAAAAACTTTAATTCTGTAGAATATGTGCGAAACGTACGTCTGAGTCAATATCAATAAACGCTTCCTAATTGATACAGCAAATGTTTCGACATTTGCGTTGACCTTTCGAACCTTAATAACGGTTTAAAACTGTTATAATCGCGTTGACATTGGCAACACCGTAACGGAGAATGTTTCAGTCGCGTGCAGTCACGTAAGGGCTTGGCGCCTGTACGCCGAATCCGTCAGGAACCCCGACGCCTTTCCGGCCACCCAATGCCGGATGTTCCGGGGACCTGCCAAAGAGTGCAACTTTACAACCGACGCTTACATGGGATACCGAAGCAATAAGTAAGTAGCCTGTCGATAATAAATTACCTGGCTCTACCTCACAGTTCAAAATTCCATCGCAAATACAGCATCTGGCTTATATCCCAGACTTTTTCGCATTTCTTCGGGCGAGACTGATGTATGTATCATACCGGTTACTTTGTTGTTTGGGTCAAAAATGTAGTCACGAAAAGCATGAGACATTTTCGTTTAACCAACCGCAATTTCTTGAAATATAGCTGAAAAAGTAGCTAGAAACCATTTTTTGAAGAAAATAATTTTCTGAAAATTCACAAATTAATAATATTAAAAAAATTAAATACTAATTTGTATAAAAATATTTGTTTGAGCGACCCTGTAAGTTGAGGAAAAAACTTTCTGATAGTATACCTGTAGTGTCTAAAAATCACATAACACGGTAGAAATCCCATCTTATTAAATAAAAAAAATCATAACTCCTCTTTCAGTTTTTTACAGCTATCTTGGATTTTAAGATGCAGGGTGATATTGAAAAGCTTTATTTACTTGTTACATGTTACATTTATTATTACTTGTGATCACTGTTTCACAACTAAAGTACATTTTATTAAAACAACCACCCTTTCTCCATGATCTACCCATAAAAAAAAATAAAGACAAATTAATAAAATACCATAAAACCATAAAAATATGACACATTGTACACTATGAATTGTGTTTTTACTGGTTTATCTTAATTTTCTGACTCACGGCGCTCTCACCAGTTAGTCAACGTTACAATAACGTAATATCCAAAGAACAAAGAACGAATATTTAGTACATTTTTAACCCTCTTTCGTCAATTTCCTTTCTTGGGGAAATGGCGTGAAAAATCGCTTAATTCATTCATAAACTGGAATAGTTACAGTAATGCAGTCAGTATCCATTTTGTGGGGGGAAATTTTATTTTGAGGGAGATGAATAGTAATGGGTATTCTTTTCTTTGTTATACACGTTACTAGTAATGGTAGATAGGTGTAATAAGCGACTGTTATATATTATTTATCAATTTTCCTACTTGTTAAAATTTTGTGAGGGTAAATCGTTTGTTAAAGGGCACTTTGTGAAATTATTTTAATCGTTTATCCTGCATTGAACTAGGTGGTTGTGATAATAAAATACCTATAATTCAGATCATTGAAACCTGGAATAATCTCCAACGAAATTGTCATTTTCTAGCGAATTTCTTTCTAGAGAATATAGGTTTCTTCAGGGGCTATCTCCCTGACATCGGTCACAAGCTTTTGATAAAGACACGATTTTGTCGAAACAATTGTCATGTCAAAATATATAATTTCGTGAAAATCTGAACATTTAGTTCTTATTTATTTTGACAAATGGATTTTCATCTCATTTTCACCTCAGCTCAATTTTCGAAATATTTGATATTGATTGATTGATTTGAATATCTGATATTGTTCTCTAAAAGAGAATGGTTCCGTAATAAATAAAATAAATTATCTCATTTGTTTTGTTCTGGCCTGCAAAAATAAAATCGCGGATAGTAGGGATCTCTTCATCGCAAGTTTTAATTTAAGTTGGAGCTTATATATAATATAAGAATATATGGAAAAGTCGGGAGGGCACAATAGTAACATTTAGTTTGGATATTGGCTATTAAAAATGTTTAGTGTTTACTGTGGACTATACTAATGCTGGTAATAATTAACAAACAATAGAAAAATATGCATTGAATTTTGCAAAGTTAAAAAAGGACTTAATTATTTAGAATTTCTAAATATGTCATTATGTAACGTTTTTTTTTTTAATTCATTTTATTTCTTCAAATTCAAAGAAAATATTTTTGATTTCGGTTACGATTATAATTATTTTCTTACTCACATAAATGACCAAAAGAAAAGCGACAACCTACATTAGTAGCAGTTCTTTTCTGTTGTACAATTGGCCTCATTTTTCTATCATGTATTTGCTATTCCAGTTTAGATCAAGCTTACTGTCTGCAGATAATGTCAATAGTCAAGTTACCTACCTTACCTACACTTTCCGTAGAGCAGCAATTTACATTATAATCTCGTCTGTTCGCGCGTCGTTGTCGCTCACTTTAACCCATCAGGATTTGTTTACGCAGTAACCAAACAGGAGCGTGAGTTTCAATTAAACTTTTATTGAACGTACTCGAGGTGTGCCTCGGCGAGGGTAAACAAAATGTCAATCAATCTTATTTACATGCGACTAGCGAAGTGAGTCGAAATGCGTCTTCTATAGACATAACGTAGATAGCTAGTTCCTTGCAGGGGAGGCATGGCACATTTATATCATAATATTTACGAAGAAACAAGATGATTGTGTGTAATGAAAAAATCTAATTTGTTCTGTAGCATAGTTATAGTTAAGTCCAGAAAATTTAAAGAGTTATTTAGTTCCGTCTCTATGGTAAATTTTTTACGGTTATGTATGGAGTTAATATGATTCAAAAAGGACTGCAGTTGTTTTTCCGATTCAGTGAAACAAGCAAAAACATCATTTACATATCTATACCACCATAGAAATCCTTTACTCAGAGGATGTTTAGGTATGATTAATCCTGCTTTAGCAATATAAAATTGACAATTAAATTCAAAATTATTTTGGTCTAAAGAAACTATTAACAAATTTTGTTTTATGATAGGGTTAACTTGTCTCTCAGTGAGAATATTGTCTGTTATGTTTATTACGTTAATTGTTGGAATGCTAGGAAATAGATTTTTGAAGTCAAATGAAACTAGAATTACCTTAGGAGGAATTTTAATGTCTTTAACCTTGTTAATTAGTTCGAAGGAATGGTTGATAGCATATCTAGGTTTAAAGGCAATATGATATTCTACAATTTTTATTAATAATGGATGGTGGTGTTACAAAAGAAACTACAGGTATTATTATATTTGTGTAATTTAATTAAAGAATATAAGTTTGGAGGTTGAGGATTCATGATTATTGGTGTTATTGGTTGGTATTTTTTTCCATGAAAAAGTGATGAATCTGTAATTACAGTTTTGATTAGTTTTTGATATAACTCGGTGGGTCCATATATGTCTGGTTTAATAAACTGTTTGGTTTTTGTAATATATTCTAGAGAATCGATAGCAATGACTATCTTTCCTTTAACTGCTCTTGTAAAAACTACATTATTTTAGGAAGCCTTACTTTTAATTGATTTTGCCATAGACAAATATGAAAGATGCTGGAATTTACTGCTAGTTGTAAGTTGAGATTTTATGAAATCAGGTAATACCTGTTTGTTATAAGATAACATATAACTTACCAAAACTTAAAGAATAATACCAAACCACCACTGTAAATGTGAATCATAAAAATAACAATACTTTGTTAATGTCTCAGTTATGTTTAACTAAAATTTACAATTTGCAGGAATTACGTTGGTCAGTTTTATTTACGCACTGATTACAAGGCGCCATACGGACTGAAACCTGAAGTTCAAGAAGTCTATCCCGCTGCAAATTAACTTTAGTCAGTAAGTTGGTGACACTATTTAATTAGCTAAGTTTAAGTTAATTATGTAAATCGATCGATAGACTGATTAGAATATTATTGTGTGTGTAAATACTCTGCAATCAATGCAAAAGTGTTGTGTCTCTTAATAAAGAAGGATGGATTTTTCGTATTAAATTAGGAAATAATTCAGTAAAACTAAGTTTCCTCTTATATTGACTGTTAAATTAGTGATTTTCTTATAGTTTCATGCTTTTTTTTTGGTGACGTGTAGAAGTCCAAACCTCAACTACCTAGCAAATGATAAAAGGGTGGCTTTCTTCACATAAACATTTAGATACTTTTTCGTTATAAAAAATTGTACAAAAATATAATATAGAGTAAGTTATTAAGCCATTTCAAACTAACTCATATCAACTCTTATGAGTTCCAGCTATAGTTCATTTCACGAGGGGACTTCCCTTGACAAATCAAATTATGAGCTGAAACACAATGATAAAAATTGAAAATAAAATGGCGGGCGTTCCTAACGTACCTAACTATACTTAGATTTTTTCCGCACTTAAATATATAATTGAACTATTGTACGAGTTTACTTTTCTTTTCAATTAGATCTTGAAAAAAACGCTTTTCTGGATCTATGCTCATATAATTTTTTTGGCTTAAACTCACTCAAAGAACCAGTTCCTAAAGTTTGGACGCCTACCTATAAAACGCTCTGTATAATTTCGTAATTTCTCCTTCATGATAGTCAGCCAATTGGTCTCTATTCATTTCATACGACTGATTACTCTATAATTTGACTTAATATCATTGATCAATTTTTGTTTGTCTTACAATGGTTTGTTGATTTTGGTATAATTTTTCCCGGTCACAAACATGTCTGCTAAAAATGATGATTCGCCCCGAATGAGGAAAAATGTCTTTTTTTTTTTCGTTTTGTAAATAGTCTATGCGAATATAAATGTAAATTGAATTGAAAGTAATGTGTTATATTTTTTGCCCGGAAAGAGACGTCTCCACTTGTCCCTTTGGAAAAATAAAGTTCCAGACGAGACGTATCGCTTCGGATAGGTTGCTAGAAAAGTTGTCGACAAGATTAAGGATTCTTCAATCTGTGATAAACATTACCTGAAACTTGAATTTCATTAGCTTTTTATTTATCTGATAAAAATGGAATGAGAAACTGTTTTATTTGTACATATTATTAACGAGTAAGCAAAAAATATTAGGTATTCGTCCTAAAATAGCTTCTATAGCCGTTTTTACCGCCAACCTAACAACATATTCAGCTAATCAAAGACTAGTATATGGTCTTATGTGTTATTATGAGCGGTCTAGATCAAATCAAATCTGATGATGCAGAAGTGCGAAACACTAATTAAATTTATATTGTTTTTTGGTATTTAATTGCGGTTAACTACAAGATGAGGTTTTCCTAATTTTAAGTTTAACTTTACATTGAAAAACCGGCCCTTAATCGTTTGAATGTCCCGCGCACGCTAAAGTCTCGAGTTACCGATCGGCCAAACTCCAAACCCGAGGCTAAATTAAACAATAAAAGTAGAAGTAATACACTTTAGGAATTTAAATTCTCATGTTTGAGGTCGACATAGTGTAAACGTCACGCGATCATTAGGCGGCAAGTTATATTAGTCACTTGTAGCTCCACCCTCGCGAATCTAATTTTACATTTCAATTTGCGTAATTATTTTAATTGCCAGCGTAAATAAATAAATTCTCGATCAATGAGTATACGTGTAGGGTGTCTTCTCGACAACAAATATCACACTATGGTTTTGGGAAGTAGAATACACTGAATAGAAACATAATTTGACCTAAGTATATGACTTAAAAGTATGGAGAGCCATACCTCTACTAATTCTTCGTTTTATAAGTTAGCACTGAACAGACGCCTAAGAAGTAACCGGTGTTGAGTCTGCAGCATTATGATTGTTTTTGAATTTGGTGACCTGACTCGTTTGTTATTTGATTGTCCTATCCATTGAGGCAATCCGCAATTTTTATATGGTTGAATTGTTCAATTTGCGGCTAAAAATGATGGCCCTTAATGAGGAAAAATGTCTCTTTTTTTCGTTTTGTAAATACTGTATGCCTATATAAATGCAAATTTAAATGAAAATAATGTGTTTTATTTTTTACCACCTGCCCTTTTGGAAAAATAAAATTCCCGTTTCCTAGAAACATCCTTCCTTTATTTCTGATTTTTATCTCTATAGGGATGGTGTGAAGTATCTCACGGAGGGCCCAATGTTAGTCACCGCGAAGCTGACCAGATAGGTATCCTGTAGTGCCAACACACACAACACGCAACGAGCGCTGACGTGTTTTTACAATAAGTTTAAGTGACCAACTTAAACTTAAGAAATGCTTAAAAATAAATAACGAATTACGAAATTATTTCCTGCGATTAAAAACAATACACTAAAAAATAGTAAGAGGCCTACCGGAGTCTAAAACAAAATACTCAAATGTGGTATGAGTAACGTCTTATTTTTAGGCACTCCTTCTTCGAACTATCAAGGGAAAAGAGCCAAAGTAAATTCGCTTGTTCACGAAGTAATTATATCCAGCTTTTGTACGGCTTTGATTCCGAATTGCTATTTCTTTGTGCGAATAATCGATAAGCCGTACACGCGGCGCCATATTCTACTTGAATTTGCCTCCCCCACCCCCCCTATCCACTATCATTTTATCAGCCAATGTCGTTTCTCAAGTACGCCAAAAACATTGCACAATAGCACCATTTTCAACGAAAGATTAAAAAATACAAATTCAAAATATGTATTCGAAATAGTAATTAAAATTAAAGGCATTTAATACAAAAAAACTAACTCGTGAGTTATTTGCAATTTTGACTTTTATTGTCGCTAAATACGTGTTTGAATATTTCATTGCTTTGAAATTGAAATTAATAAATTGAAGTGTTTTCTCCTTAAATTTCTGCTGAATGGACTGAATTTATTGATTCCACTTTGAAAAGTGCGATGAGTTTAAAATAAACAGGGTTTAAGAGTAAATTCAATGATGTATTTGGTTTCGCAGTACACATTAATTTAAAAATCGCACTGAACTTAAAGACAATTTTCGATGAGAGTGATATTTAGACATCAAGAGTTGTATTTACTTATTTTATCAAATAATATTGCTAAATCAGTGCAAAGTATTTAATTATTTTATACACAAACAAAATCACATTGGGTTTAGTCAACTTCAGCGTCTCATCTGCAAATCTACGAGTAATAACTGTCAAAATTGCAATATCAATTATTGTTCAACATACAAAAAATCTTCGTCACTATAGATGGCAAACTACATTTGAAGATGACAGATTATACAAAACCATACTTACGTAAGGAGGAAATCTGAGCATAATACAGCTATTATGATTTTCTATTTAAGTTTTACAACTATTGAAGAAAATGCAGAGGACAAAAGTCGATCTCATCTTAATTTTCTAGGAGGAACATGAAAGTTAGTACATAACAAAATGCATGAATAATATATAACATCCTAAAAACGATACACAGATCCTGAAATACTCTGCTATTCATTAAGTTCACCTTCTCACCAGCATCCATTTCAAAATCCTTCTGGCCCAGTATATGCCTAAATTACCTCAAATATTTGGACTCGACAAGGAACGTTGAAGTGCACTGTCACTATGACTCACTTGTCAAAATTCAAGTAACAATGCTCACGAGACATCTCCTTCACGGTACGAAGACGATATTATGCGTTCGAAGACAGAGTCAGACGAATTTTTTTCCAGAGATACAACCCCGATTATATTCCGAACAAAAATCAGTCCAAGTCAGCGTTTTGGGTGCTAACACGAGGCTAGGACGATATACGAGCTTTCTGCTAAAGCAGAACCCACTAGTCTCAGCCCTCCACCTGCAAGGTTGTGAACATCTCCCGGGTCTCGCAGCCGATCTTAATTTTTGTGACACCAAATGCGCCGTTCACGCACACTCTGGTGATCACAACGTTTCGAAAGCGATAAAGGTATCCGTCACCAATAACATTAACAACTACGGGTCTCACTATACTTATACAACCTCAAAAACCGCGTGTATTTTTTTAAAAATAAGAATATTTGTTATATGTTTAATTTTATTATTTTGGATGTTACGTATACTATTAATACTATTAATTTCTTAGATGCTGCTTCACTGTAACAAGTCAATTTTATCTGTAAGATTATGACAGGATCTTTATGAACCATGAAAAGATCTGTGTTATATTTTACTTTGTCTTTAAATTCAACAATAGAGTAGGAACAGTAAAACTTTATTTTTAAAAAATATGTCAAAAGATGATATAAGTCAAACTAAATACTATTGTCGATAGATATTTTCAAGATAAGATTTTTGCAAATTATTATCATAGCACAATTCTAACAATTGATTTTGTTTTCATTTAATTGCTTGTTTCTGCAATTTAAAAATGAGATAAGATCAAGAACTATCACACAGTACTTCTCCGTCACTTAAAGGAGAATGCAATACAGTATAATTAAGTACTTATCATCTTAGACGACTCAGAACAAACAGTCCGATACTAAGTTTCGCTTTCGATTGATCAACATGCTTCGACTAATTTAATCTCTCATCGATGACCACACCAAATAGGTTAGCTGAACTACTTACTATTCGTAATAGCTTTATTACTCCAACTGTTGTGTCTTATCGAGGTTCAATTTTAAGGTGTCATTTTCGAACCAATTGCTAAATAGTCAAAAGTATTCGCATTCAATTCTTTTTTTAATTTAATACTAATATTTTAAAAGTCATTAAAATGGTTAAACATACAAGAATCAAAGAGATTGAATTCAAAATAGAAAATATATATGAACAATATGTCAAATTTAGCTTCCTCAATCTAAAAAGCATCACTTTAACAAATTGAAAATGTACCAACCTGTGTGTCTGTAAATGAAAAATGTATTGTTTACTTTGTATAAATATCATATTTCAATTTGTTTTGATTTCAAAACATCACAGAACATTTTATAACATTTCTAACGAACGACATGTCCTGAGCTCAATTTCTGTTCATTTTCTATGACTGGAATGGCTTTTATCCCTTCTACGCGTACAACAAAAAACTGCGATTGTAGAGCGCCGACATCATCTTGTTCCTTCCAAACGAAAAGCCGAAAGAGGACGTCGCCTTAGGGGAACGGGTGACGAGTGAAGGAACTCGACTTTACAGTTACCTGAAGGAATGCACAGTTTACTCACCAAGAGCCATTTTGGTAATGTGCGTCCCACCCGTATCGATAACCACCCCAATAGCTACGGCCGTGTTTAAACAAAGTCACTTTTACCACCCGGGGAGGATTATTGGCTCGACAGCATTTGCCCAAGTAAAAGCCAACACGTTGGTAGGCCGATACCACGACCTCGATCCTCGATGTTGTGACGTACCGCTCGTAGGAGGCCCGGATATCGACCTTGCGGTACCGTTGTTTAGCAGAGCTAGACCGGTGGGCGTCGTAGGTACATATAGATTGGTCATGGAATGTTTTCAAGACACTTAGAGGGGGCGGTACAGTAAAGCCACTGTACACCCATGCATATGCTGTCGTTTTTTGGTTCTTCCCAGACATTTTCCTAATTAATTATTTATAATTTGATAAATCGGCAAACTTACGCAGTATAATATCAAATTGGAAATAATTGTCCGAGATAATGAAAGTGCAAGAGGAGCCAAGAAAAAAAGATTAACCTCAATATACTTAAAACAGTGGTGAAGTACCGAAGAAGCAGCTTAGAAGCTTCTGATAGGCGGCTCGTTTCAAAGCAGAGATATAAATTAGTTTTGTTCAAGTATTGAGTTAAATGAGAAATAAGTCTATTCAAATATTCAATTCAAATTCAAAAATTGAAATCTATTCAATATTCAAACCCTTTTAGAGTTGTATTTGCAACATAAAAGATTCATTGTATTTTGTTTGCTGATTCGTAAAATTTAGCGAAATTCAATAACCGCGCTTAATCAATTTTTATTTTAATTTAAAAGAGGGTCTCAAAAACAATTTTCAATTCAAGACTAAATAAACTAAAAAAGCACAGGGTCATTGCAAATTATACGTGCAACGGATGTATTTGGTAACGCCAGATTTTCTCTAATTTTAACTTCGCATTCAGGAAGAGGGCCGCAAATATTAACAGCGAAGTTCAGGGGGGTCAACGAAGAAGAGCTTCTAAAATGTCCGGGTAGCCAGAAAGTGGTGGATAATTCTCAGTTAGCCGAGAGTTACGCGTTGAATATGTTGGTATCTACTATCGCTTTGGGGATATGCGGTGACCCAAATGCCTTGGCTAACGTGTATTTGAGAAGCAATGTGCTGACCACATGCCGGTAAGTGTCTTCGCTTTTGTACGGAGCTATATTTAAACTGCCGTACTTACGCGTTAAATTATTTGTTCATTTTTTTGTAAATGCTTGGGAAAACAATCTTAAACCTGCGAAAGTCAATCACAAGTTTGTGTGTAGTAACTATAAATACTATACATTCCTGATTCAAAAAGTCGTTTAAAAAAAATGTGTTTTAATTATTTGCCACAATATGCCACACGAGATAAAAAGGAAAATAAATACGAAATGAATACGTTTTTAGGTGTTAATTAAATTTTGTTAATTTGCTTTTAAGTTTAAAACTTCCGTGAAGTTAAAAGATGCTATTTGAACAAATACGTCAATACTATTCTTCTAGGATTACAGTTTAGTAATATCTAGCGCGTCGATTTATTAAAGAAATACAAATATTTCTGCATGAAATTTTGGGGTTAGGGTTGTTTTGGTGGAGGAAATTAAATTTGTAGCGTGGAAATGCCAAAAGGGGAATGTGTCAAAATTAAATTTTGGAGATAATCAAGAAAAACTAATAATTGCCCCGTTTCTCAATTTTTGGACTTCAATCTTTTTTTTATTCATTTGTCTGCTAAGATTTTAATAGACTTGAATGTCAATTTTAATTCTCCCAAGACTAATTTAAAGAAATAATTTAAAAATTATAGAATTATACCGTGGCATACCACTTTTGCGATTAAAAGTGTTATTTTTCACCTTTCATCATGTATTCTACGCTCTAAAATGTACGAGGATAGTCCAAAAAATTCCCGACCCAAGCAAAAACCGCGATAGTCCATAAAACTAGCCAGTTCTAGTCAAAAGTCTTATTGCGTTATCGAAAATTGGCACAATTGGCCATTTACTACAATTATATTTTAGAGAAAAAAAAACGAGTACTATTTGGACGCGCTAAAGAGACAGGAGTATCGCCGAAAGAAGTGCGAAAGTGCGGATTAATAAAACTGCGTTTTCTAAAATTGAGAAAATTATTATTCTCAATATATTCTTCGCGACCGAAATTAGAAACTGCAAAAATAGTTAAGTGTGTTGACTCGAGTTGAGCGGTCAACCATATAACGATTTGTGCACGAGGATAAATGCAGCCCCATCACAAGTACAGGAAGAAAAGAAACTGAAATAAATGAGAATGATAAGACTGCAATCAGACGAATAATGCCCTCGTTTTACTAAAAAAAGAAATGTCTAGCTTGAAGAAAATAATGTCTGAAATGAAAAAGAATGATTTCATTGCACCCATTACACCGAGATTATCATGAAGACATAAATGCTGATGTTTTTGAAGGCTACTTCCAGCAAATAAGACAATTGCAGGTTACTCAATTATTACGATAGGCACATATTTTCAGGATATGCGGCGGGGCACATACGACAATTCTAACGCAAAATCTTAATATATCAAAAAATGGCACAAATGGACTCTTCAATTGTAATCTAGATATCCTACGCTAACTTTTTTGTACCTTACTGAATTTAAGTTCTAACAAAAATGTCTCTTTTTATGCAAAAATGTTTTTTTTTCAATTTTTGCCCCGTTTCTCAATTCTTGTCAATTTTTGGAATTAAACCTTATTTCCCTGGGCCTGTTACCGTCATGGATAATGCCAACTACCACTCAAGGAAAGCCGAAAGAATACTCACGAATAATTTAAGAACGTTTCGAGGTGTGTAAGTCCTGAAAACTCAAATACAGAGTTTATCGGAAATTCTAATTGCAAGTTATCTGAACCTTTCAGTTGTCCACCACGTTTAATGCTACCTGTGATTGCAAATTTACATTTCATCCTCCCTTAAGGTCCACATAAATTTCGTAAAAAGCGTTTTAAAAAACAATTCGACAGACTCGACTTTGCCCTTTACGTCCCGCAACTTTCCGCATTTTTCATTTCTAGTTATTTAGTAAACACTGTTCGGTTCGCGAGAGGCGGCGTCGTCCACAACTACGGAGTGCCAGAACTGACGAAACTCGAACTGGGACTTTTCGAGAGAGCCGTCCTGGAGATAAAAGACCGGGAACGGATGGCCCGCGAATTTGTCGATCACATGGAAAACAAAGACGCAGGAAAGGGCCCGCCTTTTACAGAGAAACAACAGCGGGCGCTGAAAGAAAAGCTAGCGAAGTGAAGTTTTTGTTTATATTTTATGCAAGGACGATTTCCGCGTCGATGGAAAAACTTCTGACTTAATTTAAACATGATACGCGTGGGGAAGCTTTTAATTCAGCGATGATATATCGACGGGTATATTACACGTTCCGTTGATCGGCTTTGAATAATTGATGGCCCGGTAAATTAACCTGTTTGTCTCGCGTTTATTTGTCGAGCGGTGACCATGGAAAAAAATATCTTTTCCAAATAATTACGTGCGGTGTGTCCTACATGAGGCGTTGCCGAATTTTTTTTGTGTGCAGGATTTTTATAATAATAACAATATTCAGGAAATCGATACACTCCGACGTTGTAGCAAATTAAACAAAGCTATACTTATTTACACTGAACCTCATACAACAACTTCGTCGACACTTGGTATGGACAATAACAATTCATCTATGACCCGTCTTTACTCTTTTTAAAGAAAAAGAGGAAGCGGCACGGCTCTCCGCGTTGCCTACGTCTTCTACGTCTTTTTCGTCTAACGTCTAGTTAAGAAAACATACAAAAACAACATTTATAGCATAATGCAAAAGGGAGCTGGGAAGTAATTAAATTCTTCAAGTCCCAGTCCCTAAATCTTAATTCACTTACGAACAAAAAAACATCACAGAGGGGAGATATTTCTTTACAAATGAATTAAAAAGTTTTATTAATTTTTGTAATTTTAGGGAGATAACTGACGAGTTTAACGATGACATTTATGACTAAATTGCTAGTGGGCTTAAATTTGCAACAGTAACAGAGGAGGATGCGGAGAGAATATTTACCAGAATTTAATAAAACGCAAAAGGTGTGGACGACATCGATCTGAAAATACTTTCTTTAATTAGTCCTCGTCTGACACCATTGGTGATGTTTATTATTAACCAATGTATTATTACCAGCAAATCTGACATTTTCGCCCTATTAGCTTACTCTGTGTAGTGTCTAAAATATTGGAAAGGGTTATATTTCATCAACTTAATAATCATGTTGCTGATTCGAATATTTTGCCGGCCTCCCAATCAGAGTTTAGGCCCGGGCACAGTACGACCACAGCTTTGCTTAATGTCATGAAGAGCTCAGGATGTGTTAAGAAATACTTGTTTGATTTATTTTATGTCGGTTTAACCGACACCGCTATTAATTTTATGAAAAGTTACTTGGGAGGTCGTCGACAGAGGGTTAAGCTGGGATTAGCGGTGTCTGACTTTCTGCCAATTTTATGGAACATTTATTGCTCTCTATTAACACTTCTGACTTCTCTAGGCACCTAAATAAATGTTATTCTCATCAGTATGATATGGAAATAGACTTATCATATACTTTGTCTTTTAATGGCGTAAATGAGAATCTTGAAGTGATTTCCAAAGCCCATGGTCTGAAATTAAATGATTCCAAGAACAAGGTTGTTCTTTTTGGCAATAAAAAAGAGGAAATTATCTAGTAAAATGATCTCAAACTTTCCTTGAATGGTGCTCCGCTTGAATTTATGGACAAATGCAACAATTTCTTGTTTCTTGATAGTAAGCTGCTTCTTAATTCTCATTTGTCTTATTTACTGCAGAAGTCCTACGGGAAACTGAAAGTATTTTGCATATATAAAGACTACTGAGATTAGACGTAAATTGTGTGACTCTCTTATACTCTATTGGGATATGCGGACGTTGTATACTGGCCGGTCCTAAGATGGAAAGACCAATACAGCTTACAAAAATCGCAAAATGCCTGCCTGGGATGCAGCTATGGTTTGCATAAATTTGATCATTTAACACTGGCACTCAAAGATTCTCAGTGATTAAAGCTGTCTAAATACGAAAAGCCGCGGTATCTCTATGATAGACTGGTCAGGGGTAGTGATATACATAACAGGGCGACGACGACACGAACACATTCACTAACATGACCGTCAGAATTGACAAACGTCAAAATTCAAAGCGTGGGAAATCTCCGAAAACATCCGATTGCTCCCAACCCGTGCGGTAAAATCCCGGAAATGTCCGAAGTGGCTCGGATTCCTGGGAAACGAAACTGACCTGGTAAAGTGACGCTTCCCGCACGCTAGATCGGTGTGTAATTAGGCATTTTACAGACGAGAATAGAAAAAATAATTGTGTATCGCAAAATCAACATAAATATGACCTACGTTCCCAGACAACGGATACACGATAACGAAAATTGTAAATTAAAAAAATACTTAACACTTTGCTTTTCTAAGGCATTGGGGATGTTGATATAACTATACATGTTTGAAATCAGGATCCAGAAGATGTTGATCATGAATATAAATACAGAGTGTGATATCCAAAAGTGAGTCAATTTTGTTTATCTTTAAGAAAAATATTTGTTTTTATTGACATGTTCATAAGATAATAGAGAAAACATCATAACATTTGTATGCAAAATGCGTTTACCTAGCCCTTTTAATTAACATCTGTATATGGATGCCAAAACATAAATAAAAACTCGGTACATGGATGTCATTTTACCTGTCTAGTTCGAAATAAAATGTATTTGCTAATATGTAACTTATAACAATGACATCTGTCAAATGTCAAAGATACGACGCCATCTTGGGTCCAATTCATAAACCTCAGGTTGTAGGCACTGTAAAGAAACGGTTTTGTTCATCATTCATATCTCCATTCCGAGAATTCTTAGAATCTGCTGTTTCCAAGATGGCAAAAAAGTAAAAAGACGATAATTCGATACGGTAAACATCCGAGATTCTAGAATATTCAGGAGCGTGGGATGAGGCAATATTTTTATTTGAAAATTCCCTTCGTGTCTGCTTTGCGTGTTTTATGACTTTAGGGATGTTACGGTTTCAGATCAAGTCTCGTGCCGAATCTAGAGCTCCCACAACGGCTTTCCGAATCTTTCTTTGATGTTTGTATTTCGAACCTGGCCGTAAAATGCGATTTTGTCGCGGGACGAGTATTAAATCATTCACTTTCCCCTGAAGCGAGTTACGTATAAAAGAAAATGTTTTCGGTACTCACTATTTTACCGTTGAGATGTTGCAGCTCCTTCTCCGCCAATCGTCTTGTCGCGTTTTCCTTTCTTTTTCTTTTGTACTGGTTGTATTTGTAGAACAGGTACATGCCCGGAAGGGCCAACACCACGAAAGGTTTTATGAGGGGGTTGTGTCTGGCCTGGGCCTGCGGTTGAGGCGGGGGGTCTTCTTGAGGTCCTTGGGGCATTTTCTAATTTGTATGGACCCTGCAAAATCGCTGTTAGTGTTTATTAATATTCTTCATTCTTCGCATCAACCGCATGCAAAATCACTCTTGCATATAGAATTTCCATATTATATGGCATATATAGCATTATTCAGATCAAAAACGTTCCAGATTTCAAAAAATACTTTTTTTAGGGAGATAATTTTAATTTTTTTTTAAGTAAGATACTATACTATATTTTTGCAAGTGTACTACATTATTTTCACGTTTTTCACATCAAAATATTATATGTCATCACTATTTTTTAAATATGACATTGTCTAGCCAAGCGCTATCGAAAAAAATTACAATTTTTTCGGTTTTTGCTGAGAACAGCCCGTAATTTCTATTTTTGGATAACATTTAATCAGTACAGCAAAAATTTAGATTTCTATCGTTAACGAATTAAATGTAAATTATGAATTTTAATGTTCGCTGCAAAAAAAAGTCATTTACTGAAGACACAGTTTTTTCTATGCTTAAAATCTTCTTGTATGAAATTGTATTATAGTTTATTCTGCACCGAAGCACATTGAGGAAAGAAACTGTAATAACTCAGGATAAGTAGACTGCCATCAGGAGAATAATACAGAAAAAAGAAATACCTACATTGGACAAATTAATGTCTGAAATGAATAATGATGATTTGATTGCACAGAAAATCATTTTTAATAGAGAATGGTGGAATTATGATTACATTCATCCCTCTTTTATTTACTTTATCTTTTTGTCTCTATAATTATAATCATGTATATTTATTATTAACTGTTCAATGATTCCTGTCATTGTAAATTTGCAATTTATTATTCTCCCGCATTAAGAAACGAAATATGTAATATATCTAATCTGCTCTATCACTTCTCGAAAGAATAATTAGTAACTATAACAGCATCTTCTATCGCAGAATGCATGTATCGTGCGTTCAATTTATCTCGATAACATTTTAATTGGCTGTAGCTTTTTTGTTTTTAGAAATATCAAGGTAAACAAAAAAACAAAATGTAAGGTTAGTAGCCAAGTATATTATCAACATGCAAAAAAACTATCAATTTCCTGGCATATAAGCCTGCATTATATTTTTTCAATGAAACACCCTGTATATTATATGTGTTTAATGGAATATCTTGTTGCGATTAAAATGATGTAACACACTTTATAGTCCACTTTTAGTAAAGTCGTTTTTGACTGCAAAAACAATAATTATTTACAAATTAGAATAAAAACACTAAAAATGACAAGATACACTAAAGTAAAACATTCTTTAACTATTCTAAATACTGCTATATATGACTGCTCTAATTGTATGATGTCTTGCATTTAGTAACGTTTTCCGATTGTCTCTTAACTGATTGGTTGCCTCTGAAATGCTTTGCCGAAGTTTCGTCGTTCCCTATCCAACCCCTGGGATATTTCATGTTAAGAAAATTTTTAACTTGAACAACATTGTGAGAAGGGGCCCCGTCTTGCTGCCATATAGTCAGCGCTGATATATTTAGGACTAAATCGTCCATATATTATTCTATTTAGTGCACTAAGAGTTGCAAATAATGATCTCCAGTTAACTTTTGATATATCATTATCATCATACCCAAAATATGCCCATTTATGACACCACACCATGCATTAATTGATTGGTTTTTATTTCGTGAATTTTATCTATTACAACCCTTTCCTGTAGTGAACGGTCTTTCATCTGTCCATAAAATGTTTTTTAAAAAATTATTATTCTCATTATGTCTATTTAAAGAATCCAAACAATAGTGCACTTAGTTTTTGAGTTTTACGAAATTTAAATGCTATATTTCTATTCTTTGAAAACTGAGTGGATTGATCCCAGAGAAATACCTCTCCCTTCATATACTCCAGTAATATAGAAAACTGTATCTACTTCATAGAATCCTAATATGTTTGCCTTATTTTCTTCATTTAAAACATTATGATTCCGGAATAGTTTTTACCATTTAATACGTTACCATTTTCTGCAAATTTCTTTGCAAGTTTTAGAAACATCTGTTTTGAAGGAGCTCAGCGCTCTGGATAAAGGCTAATATACTGACGACGAGCTGTGGTTGCACTTTTATTATTCAGAAAGTATACTTGAAGCATATCACTCCTTTCACGGATGCTAAATTCGCGAAAGCCCATTTTAACAATAATGAATTGGACAATAATTCAACCATCAACGTTGTTAACGTTGTATATGTCAAACATATTTTTATTTATCAGTCAGGGCGCTCTTTGAAATTATATAAAAATTTCCTATTTTTGCCGATTTGTCAAAAACGAGTGTATTAAATCATTGTAATTGGAATAAGATATTCCATTAACACGTATATAATATACAGGGTGTTGGCTTATACGTCAGATAATTGATAGTGTTTTGTTTTATATGAAAAGAAACTTGGCTACTAACCCTACATTTTGTTTTTTGTTTACCATGATATCTCTAAAAACAAAAGAGTTACAGCCAATTAAAATCTTATCAAGATAATCTAAACGCACGGCACATCAAATCGTCCACTGCGGATCCCGACGTCACAGATTCGCTTTCAATTCAGAACGATGACGTCGATACCCCGTCGGGGAGGTCTATTTCGCCAACTTCTTCAGCGAAGAATTGGAGAGCAATGACCTCGTCGACAAAGAAAAGCGACCAAGAATCTCAACCAGCATTTTCCTTACCTTCGACGACGAAAAGTGCCCCGATCAACGTGCCGCTTACTAAACGACTCGACCGAGAGGAAACTCGCGACTCAAAAAAGCGCCGGACTGCGAAAATTTCAACACGCTACCGCCGAACGAGGACGAACTTATACGATTCGGTACGAGTGCGTAAAAGAGGGAAAACATCGCGAATTGCATCCCTAAAGCATGTCGGTACGCCCACCGTGGTCTACAAAGTCGAAGCGTCGAAATCGGAGGCGCCGCGACGCGTCTAATAACGTACTGCGGCTGATTTTCAGGCGTCGGGAAAACGTTGAGGAGAGCGCTTTGAGGCGCGTTCGATCGCGCGTGGTGCGCGTGCGCGCCAACTCTAAACCGCTGAAAATGCGAACGTGGCCCGAATTTTCCGACGTTCTCTGATGATGGCCGCGGGTGGGCGAGATACGCGTGGGCCCACCGTCGAGGTGCGAAAATTCTTCGCGTTCAGAAGTGGGATGCTTGGCTGACTAAACGTAAGCTATTTCGGGAAATTCGCGGGGGTGTTGGACGAGGGTTGTTTACGCGCACCGACGGAGAGAAAATTGCGAATTCCGGTGGGTTGCGGGGGACACGCGACTAAATAAATGAGCGCACCTTTTATTAGAAAATAACGTCAATTTCAAGGGAAGAACAACAAACTCTTTTAAGATCAGAGAACAATCCGCCATAATAATGATAATGATAGACAGACGGTGCCTCCCATAACAAAGACAGAGGTTATATATGCCCATAACAACAAAGGAAAAGTTGTCGTACCCGATGAGATCCTAACAGATCTAACAAAACTAGGATTACACAGGGTGGCTAAAATCGATATTCGTTACCCTGGCCAAAAATAAATCACCCAAAGCGTTGTGAAGACTACCGACAATTATCTTAATGTGTCACATAGTACAAATTTTTAATAAAGTAATACACGGCATAATATATCGGAAATGTGAGATGACAGTAACAAACATACAATTCTTTTTACAAAACTTCTGGATTCCTCCTGCGTCGGTTTTTGCTGAGTCGAACTTGCTGACGTTTCGCCCTTCATCCTGTTGGCTTCTTCAGAGCTTGACTGAAACTGGCTCGTATTTCACTCTGTACCTGCTTATATATTGTTTGAGGGGGGGCGGAGCTAAATGAGGGGTCACCGTCTCGGGTGACTGATTCCCATATCGGTGACAGATATAGACCTGAGTCGCGATTAAGATTGTTAGGTTGTTTATAGATTTCTATAGACTCTCGGATTTTTCGTTGGTAGAAGAACTGATTACATGCAAGAATTTTAATTTTATCGAATAAAATTTTATGTCCGGTTTCATGAGTATGTTCGGCAACAGCTAAGTGGTAAATATGGTTTTGACGTTAGACTTCTTTAGAACTTTTGATATGTGGTCAGTGATGTTTTGAATGTGAGGAAGTGGCAATTGTAGCATTGCTTTCGGCCTCATTGCTATTGGAAGGTTGTGGTGAAGTGTATTTTTGATAGAACGCTTAATATCTTTAATGTGGAAATTATTAGAGAGAAGAGCAGGGCGCCGTATAGTGATGTGACCATGCATTAAGGTATCGGTCTGCGTGCGTAGGTTTTCTGTAAACACAATGATCCAATGTTAGGTCTGACTTTCTGTTAATAAGAATATCTAAGAATCTATTATTAGTTTCCAACCAAACGATAAAACGTATGTTAGTATGTTAGATCCATAGATGACGTAGGATCTTTTTTAAGTTGACGATATGAACCGTCTGACAGAATATATTGAATTTTTTCCGGATATTCATTTGTGTCCATGACTACCGTCGCATTCTCTTTATCTGCTTTTAGGATTACAATGTCTGGATTGGATTTTGGAGATTTTAGGGCGATGCGTTCAGGCTTTGCAACATTGGATTTAGGAGGTTTTGATTTTTTAAGGATTCTTGCGGTTTCAAATCGCATTTCATTAACTGTTCGAGTTGGCAGGTTGTTTAGGATAGACTCAACATTTGAAATGTTTTCCTCTTTTGGGATAATACGTGGGGCAAGGACGAAGTTCGAATCTTTTGAAAGAACTAATTTTTCTCTGTAATCGTAGCTGTAACTCAGAAAGCGTATTATCAAGTGCTATGTGGTCCCGATGATTTTATATGGAATGGAAGGGTGCACGCTAGCAGAAACACTGTCCTAATAATATTTTTGTCCAAATCAGATTTTTTCATAAATGAATGACGAAATGGCAAATAGCAAAGCTTACACAAATAAAACACAAGTTAAAAAGGCCAAACAGAGAGAAATATAAATAAAATAAGAATAAAACTTGTAGATTGGGACACATCTACAGAATAAAATGCCTTTCCTAACAGATATTTTTTTAGTTCTTTTTTAAAGCATTTTGGTTAGCTTATCGATTAATTTCAAAATTATGGTTAATTTTTAGGAATAAACCCACACCTTGAAATTCTATTTTCGAAAAAAAAATCAGAATTTTTCAAGCTGAAAGATTAAGCTGCCATAATGTACTTTACGTACTATTTACCAACATTTAGTAAAAAACAAAGCACCTTGACTCTATTAAGTCATCAGACGGCATTTTTATTTATGGCGGTTCTTTAATGGCAGCATATTACGATTTTTTCTACCTCGATTTTCGCAACGAAAAAATCGGCACAGGAAATTATAAACAAATTTTGTCATTGTTTAAGCGATGTCATCATCCTGTGTGGGTTCCTTTGAAGTTTTTTTGAACCCCGTCTAAATAGATGGCACAAGACTCGACAACCGGCTTAAACAATAGTTATTATAAACAAATAACAACATGCGGGGAATTCTTTTTCTCTCGTAATGGTAAATGAACTTTTCAAAGGTCGTAATATGAATGTATTTTTTTAACGGAAATGGCAAATGACTTCCACTTAAATGGCTAAATATGCGGAGCAAATAAAATTGGGAGTGTTAAAAAGAAAAACATAGCAAACGGTCAGACAAATAGGTAATACTTTTATGGCCTATTCATTACATGGAAAACATATAGAGACGGTTCAATGGCGCCGCGTTTTTGCTTACATCAATTAATTAGAACAATAGTAAAGTTATACCAGCTACACTTGGAATTACATGTCCTCGAGAGTAGGAAATTAATCTTAATATCTGAGAGTTCATACAAGTCCAGTTGCGGTAGCCATATAAATGAGGCTATAAAACTTTATCTACTTGAGTATCAACCATACGGAGAACTTTTTTATTGATTTTATGAAAAAAGTTATCCTTTATAGAAAGTTCTCCTGGACACTATACGCCAAAATAACATAAACATCCTGTACCATATCTTAATCATAATATTGACAATAATATCGATACTGTTTTCAGAGAAACTTCCGCCAATTATCCTGTTGGCTCGCATTTTACTCTGTACCTGCTTACATGTCGTTTGAGGGAGACGGAGCTAAATGAGGGGCATACACACCGTCTCGAATGACTGATTGACATATTGTTGACAGGTAAAGACCTCAGTCGCGATTAAGATTGTTAGGTTGCTTATAGATTTCTATAGACTCTCGGATCTTTCGTCAGTAGAAGAATTGATTACATGCAAGAATTTTAGTTTTCCTTCGCTTGCCCTTGATACAATTACACACTGTAGTATCCGTTAATCATGTTCTCGATCACGACGTTTAAAGCAAAAAACGAGTTTTTTTCGCTTTTTTTTTTGTCTCCGCCGAACGCCGGCCGGCCGGCCGGGCTTGTGAATCATTCCGTTTTGTCGTGTTCTTGTAAATCGGCGAAATAAATTTGCCTCCTTAAAAATGCCAAAACGCAAAATAACCAATAGTGAGAAAAAGTGGGAGTTGAAACGACTTCAGAAAATTCAGAGTAACCCGCAATGTTTGGAATCCAGCGATTCGAGAGTGTGCCCTCATCTAGTGAGACATCAGGTAACTTACCTAATACAGAGCAGCACTTACCTTTTAGGGATCGGCAAATTATTAGTTATTGCCAGCCATATGTTTATACAGAAGAGTGAAATCATTTTTTATATCGTTGTTATCAACGAAGGAGAGTGAAATCACTCGATTTCAACAATGCTCTCCGGGATCATGCGATCTACGGCATACGGTAACACTCGTTACCTTTACATACTGACGATATCAACAAAGAAGAGTGAAATAAGTCAATTTAAACAATACTCTTCGGGATCATGCTAACCATGCATGCGATAACACTCGTTACCTCTTTACATTGATAATATCGACAAAGGAGAGTAAAATCATTGGATTTCAATATTCCTCGGGATCATGTGATCCAGGCAAACGGTAACACGCGTTACCCTTTTATATCGACGATATCGACAAAGCAAGTTCACGTAGTCCTTTCAAGTGCGATTGGCGGACCCACCTACCGGGTTCACTCGTAACACTAAACAGCTCCGTGGAAGGTCCCCGGACCCCGAGTACGGTGAAGGGAAGGGGGCTATGGTGTCGGGTAGGTTCGGTGTGTTCGTCATAGCAAAGTCATGTCGCTGAGCCCCCGTGTCAAAAATGGGGGGGTAACAAAACGGGGCCCACTATGGGAGGATCACTTCAAAAAAATCGTGTACACCTAAGCAGTATCTGCTCTTAGAAAATTAAGTATTCTCTTCGTTGCTTACCTAGGGATATTCTGATTATGACAAAAAAAAAGCGGATCCACAAAATATTACCATATCTATACACTGATTGCGCCATATTAGCCAAGACAGTAAAAACGGACGAACAGTTGTTCGGGAAATAACTTTTTCAAAAACAACGAAGCACTAAAGAAGTCAAGCATAGACCGAAAAAAAAAAACTTTCGTCAAACCGGTGGTCGGGTAGGCAGCAAGTCTCTAATCTACAAGCGATTTCTTGTCAAAGAAATAGTCCAACAAAATAAATTGTAGGTTCGCCGAAAAAAACTGTGTAATTATGCTATTGAAATCGGGCGATTTCAATAGCACTTTCGGGGAACATTCCTTCTCTCAACACAAAACCAAAATGTTTCAGAGCAACAACAATGTATAACCTTCCTGAGCTTCTCACTAAACACCTCAAATATGAAAATCACAAATAATTTCAAAATTATAACCTCAGAATGAAGATCCCCAATAAACTAACGTCCTCTCTTGGTGGGAAAATAATATTTGAAAAGGTCAGAACATAAAGCCGTAAAAATTCGTTCCAGAAATTTTGTCAAACGCGTCTCCGTCTGGTGTTGGTGCCTATTGTGGGGGCAGAACTTTTCATGGTTTCTAGG